CGCATTCTACATTAGGGATATTAGAGATGTAATTGATGCATTATTTTGTTATTTCTAAATAGCATAAGGTTCTTTTTTAAATATATAAATTAAGAAAATCTTATTTGTTGGAATAGTTTAGGTTGACGTTGATCATTAAGTCAATTATTTGCATTTCTTTTTAAATTTAAATAATTGTTTCTTTGTAAGAGGAATTTCATCAAAATTCCTAAAGAATTGAAATATATCGTTTCAAAACCACTTTATATTAGCAAATCTTGCACTCTTGATATCGAGGAATGAATGGATCTGTAAAAGTAAGCACTCCAATACTCATTCTATCTATATTCGAGAAGAATATAGTTCGTGTACATTGTCTGAGAGGTGGGGAATTCTATTTATGCACGCAAACAGTTCTCCAACTGCTCGCGAATTGCGATGTCATATGAGATTACGTTTACTGCTTCGTGCCTGCAATTGCTCTTCAAGGTCGGCTTGTCCCAAAGGTTGGCCAATAGGTGAAACGTGACTCGGCTCAGCTAAACTTTATGTGCTACTTGAAGTCCATTGAATGATGAAGTTCATCTAGTTCTCCTCGTCATTTAGGTAAGTGATAGCCTCTAATGTCGATACGTGGTAGGCAATAGTCCACCCCAACAAATAACTTTACAAAAACAGTAAAACGCTCCTAAATAATTTCTTAAAATTAAATTTAATCATCAACTTTTAACTTTATCAAACGAACACATAAATTTTAACAAGTAGTTTAATGAATACCTCTTCAAAATTATATCTAAAGATTATTTTAAAACCAACTCGTACCTAGATACAAAATTAATTGGTTGTTTTTAGTTTGTTATTTCTTATTTTCCATAAATTAAAATATATATAAACATGTTTAGTAACATTTCTATTTTTCACCCTTAAAATTTTAAACTAAAAAAAGTTAATTTTTCCTAAGTTTTGTAATTAAATATTCATTTTTTTTATCTTATATTTTTTTTAATATCAATTATGTATTTTATAAATTAATATTGATTAAATTTAAAACTGGAAATTGAAATATAAAATAAGAAAATTGATTTTGTTACTTCCAAAATTTCTCATTTCTTAAATATGAGAAACGAGAAATCAGAAACAGTGGCTAAACGCTTATATTTTTCAAAAAATCGAAAACCAAAAATGAAAACGTCATCAAACATACCTATAATGGTCTTTAACGAAATTGACTTGGTTAGGAAAGATATTAGGTTAGGGTTTTTAGATGCTAAAAAACTACAAATTTGAATAAATAAACAAAACCAAACAAGTTGGCGCAAGGCAGGCAGTATATTTTTGACCATCATACGTCTAGTCCTTCTTGTGGCCTTGCCACATACATCGTATGCAACCTATTTCTAATACTTGGGCTTTTATTTTACACGTTTTACATTCTAAGTGGCCGACTCCCGTTCTAAACTACTCAAGTTAATTCTATCGAAATATTACGTAATAGGTATGGTGGAAGATGATTCAATATTTACGATGATGTAGAAGAAGTAGAAATATTTTAACATTGAGATAACACTGCAAATTTAATTTTTCTGGACACAAGCTTCCGTTGATAGGAAACATGAGAAAGAAGAAAAAAACGTAGGTAATATTTATTCCCGACTGTTGTTGAATAAAAAAAAATGCTAACATTTGTCGACAATTTCATATTCACGTGGATAAGATACTTAAGTATATTTTAAAGTTAAAAAAGATACCTATAGTAATAAGATGATTCCTATATTTGAGGAGATTTTTAATTTAATTCTTAATATTTTAAGATTTAGATTTTATCGGTTAATTAACAAGTTAAGTGGAATGTTTTAATGTACAAATGTGTTACTAAAGCAGCAATTTAATAGTTGAATCGATCCTAAGAAGAATAGTTAGTCCAAAAGTTACCATACATTCCAGGGAAATTAAAAAAAAAAACTGTTAACAAATCTTTTTTTTATATTTTTTTTTACCGAATTACCTAATCCAAGAATTTTAATAAGAATCAACATAAAAAATTTTAAAAATTATCTTTTTAATACAACAAAGAGTAGTTGGGAAGCTCAACGATAATTACATATATATTTTTGACGAGCAATAAAATTTTATATTAAGTTTCTACAGTTATATATATATATTTATTATTATTATTATTATTATTTTGATGAATACTAGATAATACTTTTGGTTTGTTTTTTCTTTTTCTTTTTTTGACAAAAAACTAAATTAATACTTTATTGTTGGTTTTTTTTTTTCATTTTGAAAAAGTTAATACTTTATTGTTTATGACAAGTTCGTTGTATATCATTATTAAATGATTTTCCCTAGGTCAACCTAAAAAAGGAGAGGACTTTAGCTTTTTGGATATAAATGATTTTTTATTTAAATACTATTTTGATTTATATGATTTTGTTCATTTTGATTGTTATGCTTTCAAAACGTTTATATTAGTTCCTGTAATTTCAACTTTTATTCATTTTAGTTCATATACTTTAGAAGCATTTATTTTAAATCCTATACTTTTAAAAGGTGACCATTTTAGTCCATCATTTTTATTTTTATCTCATTTATTTGATTATAATTTTATTATGACACTTCATTCACTAAATTTTTTGAAATGTAACAATAAATTTGTATTATAAAAATTTTCGTGACGGTTGAAAAATATAAAAAAAATAATAATAATTCTCCTTAATAAATATAAGTATAAAGATTTTTGTGTCATTTGACAGTTGTCATTATTACATTCATCTTGACGGAAGTATGGATTTTATTGACTTTTTCTTGACAATTATTGAATGTTATTAAAAGAGTTTGTAGGATGGTTATTAACTGTAATTAAACTTTATTTTACGTGACATTATTTAACTGTCATCGTGAACAAAYTGTTGATGAATTGTCATGAATATACCACCTTTTT